TTATGTGTGTTCGCTTGCTTGCCGTTAATGTATTCTGTTTGCCAGAGTTTTAATTTATTCTGTCCATTAGAATGCATAAACTCAAGAACATTCTTAAACTTGTTTAGTATTTACATGCACTTATGCACGCTCATGCTGTTTTCTGCCCAAACACTGCGCTGGTTATGGGGTTTTTTTCAGTCTGTATACACTCTTCTTCTAAAATGCCTATAAATGCCTGTGTGTATGGACACATAGGCTAATATAGAGGTGTGTTTAAAGGGTGAAAAAATAAATGCTGAACACCTGTAAACTGGTATTTTTTTCTGCCTGGTATGCATAAGGCCTTTGGAGCTTTTATTACATCCTGTCATATCACTAAGACAGGATGTTAGAGCAAATTACCTGAGGGGAACACAGACAGCTATGAAATGCTGATAGAATACCCTACCCTTTATCACTCTATACAAAGATAAGAAAGCTTTGTCCACTCTAGTGGAGAACTTTACTTTTTACCAAAAAACCTTATCCCATGATTCACTAGCCTCCTAACTAATTCTAACAATGATCCTCCCTCTGATGTTCACATCCTTTGTGGAGAAATCTGCTCTGTTCATACTAGTGCAATTTCAGATGCAATTAGTCGCACAGATTCGAGTGACAATGGAAATCACATTGTTTTCAATGTTACCCGTTCACATGCATACAGCACAAATGCAATGCGACTTTGGGGAAAGTACACCTGTTACTTTGGTATGATTCCAGCATGATTTCGGCCACATAGAATATGCAAACCACTTCAAAGTATCATCAAAGTAGCATTGGATTGTCCAGATATAATCATAAAGAATCATTACTATAAAAATTACAATAGCAGTGTAAAGAAATACTGAGGTGCATTATACAGTGAAGGAAATAAGTATTTGATCCCCTGCTGATTTTGAATGTTTGCCCACTCACAAAGAAATGATCAGTCTAAAAATCAAATGGTAGGTGTATTGTAACACAGAGACAGAATAGCAACAAAAAATTCAAAATAAATGCATATCTAACAAATGATGCACTGATTTGCACTTTCATGAGGGAAATAAGTATTTGATCCCCTTCGCAAAACATGAATTAGTACTTGGTGGCAAATCCCTTGTTGGCAATCACAGACGTCAGACGTTTCCTGTAGTTGACCACCAGGTTTGCACACATCTCAGGAGGGATTTTGGCCCACTCCTCTTGGCATATCCTCTCCAAGACATTAAGGTTTGATGGCTGAGGTTTGGCAACTCGAACTTTCAGCTCCCTCCACGGATTTTCAATCGGATTAAGGTTTGGAGACTGGTTAGGCCACTCCAGGACCTTAATATGCTTCTTCTTGAGCCACTCCTTTGCTGCCTTGGCTGTGTGTTTTGGGTCATTGTCATGTTGGAACACCCATCCACGACCCATTTTCAATGCCCTGGCTGAGGGAAGAAGGTTCTCACCCAAGATTTAACGGTACATTGCCCCGTCCATCGTCCTTTTGATGCAGTTGTCCTGTCCCCTTAGCAGAAAAACACCCCTAAAATAGAATGTTTCCACCACCATGTTTGACAGTTGGGATGATGTTCTTGAGGTCATAGGCAGCATTCCTCCTCCTCCAAACACGGCAAGTTGAGTTGATGCCAAAGAGCTCGATTTTGGTCTCATTTGACCACAACACTTTCAACCAGTCCTCCTATGTATCATTCAGATGTTCAGTGGCAAACTTCAGATGGGCCTGGACATGTGCTTTCTTGAGCAGAGGGACCTTGTGGGCACTGCAGGATTTCAATCCTTGTCAGTGTAGTGAGTTACCAATTGTTTTCTTGGTGACTGTGGTCCCAGCTGCCTGGAGATCATTGACAAGATCCTCACGTGTAGTTCTGGGATGATTCCTCACTGTTCTCATGATCATTGACACTCTACGAGGTGAGATCTTACATGGTGCACCAGACCTAGGTTGATTGACACTTGTTTTGTGTTTCTTCCATTTGCGAATGATTGCACCAACTGTTGTCACCTTCTCACCAAGCTCCTTGGTGATAGTTTGATAGCCCAGTCTAGCCTTGTGTAGGTCTACAATCTTGTCCCTGACATCCTTGGACAGCTCTTCGATCTTTGCCATGGTGGAGAATTTGGAATTGTTTGATTGCTCCTGTGGACAGGTGTCATTTTTACAAGTAACAAAATGAGATTAGCAGCACTCCCTTTAAGAGACTGCTTCTAATCTCAGCTTGTTACCTGTATGAAAGATACCTGGTAGCCAGAAATCCTGCTGAATGATAGGGGATCAAATACGTATTTCCCTCATGAACATGCAAATCAGTGCGTCATTTGTTAGACATGCAATTCTTTTAAATTTTTTGTTGCTATTCTGTCTCTCTGTGTTACAATACACCTACCATTCGATTTTTAGACTGATAATTTCTTTGTGAGTGGGCAAACATTCAAAGTCAGCAGGGGATCAAATATTTAGTTCCTTCCCTGTATGCACAAGCTGTTTTGAAAACATGCATGCTTTGTGGGATTTTTGTGGCAAGGGAACAAGACCACTGCAATATGTATATGATGAAAAGAAAGCTTTGGTTACAGCGTAAGCAACATTCTAATGAGCTCCGAGCATTATATTTTACTGGGGTGCTTTTGAGTCATCAGGCCAATACAGTGATGATTGTGTTTATCAGCCACAAATGTGAACTTTAATGTCCTAGTTAATTAAACAATGCTACATTTGTATGCATGGGTGGTAAAAGACGAAAGTTTGTAGGCTGTGCTGTATAATGTGGTTTATTTTACCTGTAAACTGCGTAAAATAGCTGTGATTAGTGATTTCTTAAGAGCTCAATATTTTTCCATGTAGAAAAAAAAACTTGAAATATAGCATAATCAACATCCCATTTTATCTGGCACATGTTATTTCCATCAAAATCTGTTTTTGAGTGTACTTTGATAGGCTATATGTAAAATTGCATACTGTTTCCTGCTCATTTGTCTGGCTATAGCTATACTAGACATCACATGCGTGGGTAGTGGATAGACAGATCTGAACAGATAAGATGAAGTGAATGCTACAAGGAAATGTGAAAAGCTGGAGAGCCTATTACAAACATACGAACACATATGGATAACAGACAAATCTGGGTATACCACATACATGACTGCACAGTAGAGGCCCACAAAAAGTTTATCATTTCTTATGAGCTGAAAACCAGTGATGGGATAAGTGACCCACATGGATGTTTTACTTTTATTTAAGAATCTGAAAAGTAGTTGTGAATCTAACAAATTGAGATCTGTGATCATTATGGTTGTCTTGGGCAACACATACAGCACTTTTCCTCCAGTTTGTATATGTTGGGTATAAAACAGCTTAAAAGCTACAAACTATATGTTCCCTCTAATTTTTCACTTTAGTCTCAGATACCCACCCAAGTGCAAAGGAAATAAAAAAGCACTGGAAACTTTTCTTAGATCTGTTTGGATATTTCAATGAATGGGGGTTGGTGTGAACTTTATTTCTTACATATTAGCCCCGATCAAGTATCACAAATCTGCATTGGGAGTTATCAGTGGCCAACCTGTTTAATTTTTGTATGTGCTAAAGCAAAGCTAAACTGTACTATACTTACCTCTTCTTCAACATTCTGACAACCCCTTGCCTGCGCTGACATCTTCTACCCAACTTCTGTCAAGTGCCGGACTGTGGCCATCTTCATTGGCCGGTGTAGGATGATGTCACTCCTGTGCATGCGCAGAAATGCAGTTATTCTGGCACACAGGCACTGTGCCAGAATGTAAACTGTGCTGCACTTGTGTAGCTCAGTGTACATTCAGAAGAAGACCACAGGCAGGTAGGTTTATTTTATTACAGAAGAGAGGCAGCCAAGAAAACTCTGTATTTGTGCCTATCTGAAACAAGTTTCACCTTGCTGTGTGGCAGAAGAACTCTGTGCTAGTGAAGATACTAGCAGGATTTTCTAACCTGCATTCTTGCTTTGTTCCCTATGAATGCTTGTTAAGGAATGTTGTCCCCTGCCCCATAGACATTGGACAATAACCCAATGTGAAGCTAGAGACAAGTAATATAGCGAGCGCTTACTGTGATAAAGATATAATAAAAAAAAATATAATAAAAAAAAGAGCTCCTAGAACACCAAAAAGGCAACCAACATAACCTTCCAACATAACCATAACCTTTGTCTATATAATAACCCAATGTGCCCACAAAAGGCTGGGCCACAAGCCTGTCATCTAATCTAGTGTTGATTCTTATAATTTTACCAACCTCCAATAGAGCTGTGGAATTAATAACCAGCAAAGCATAATATGCCATGTATTTAGCTGAAGTACAGTATATTATATTTTTAGCTGCATACTTTGGTTTGCTCTACTACAGGAAATACTTGCAGCATTCTCCTTTTTGTTCTTTTTTATTGTTAAATAATAGTAAGTGCTCAGAGACATAATTGTAGAATTGTTATGTTTTAGTTTGTATTTTGTGATAAATTTAGTAAAATTAGAATTCTCTCTATGGCAGAGTAGACTGAAAGTGCTAATACAATTAATGTTAATAGGTTTGAATGATGGGAGTTGGCAGTATAATTAGCAGGTTTGTGCAGCTCCTACATCAGTGGTGGGTTAACACAATAGAAGGGCATGTGCAGAAATTACAGTTAGGTCCCTTCCTACACATTATTAAAAGTATTAATGCAGGTACATTGCCCACCACCCACTCGAGACCTTAGCAGAGGTGCATTTGTCATTAGTTTCTCCCCATTTAATTTCTCAACCAGCAAAATCCTACAATTAATAAAAAGATCATAAGTAAATCCTTTTTTTTTTTTTTTTGTCCACCAGTCATCTATGCAAGCCAACAATTAGTTCAACTATTATGGTATTTCAGTACTTATTTTCTGAAACATGTCTATTTATTTTACCTTCAGATTAAATACACGCATATCATTAGGTTTCTGTTTAACTAATCTGGGCATCTCTCATCACTTTTTTCCAGAACACTATAACTATGCATCTTCCAATATAAGTGCCAGCCTGTCACTGAGTGTGATGAATCCTTCATTACCAACTTCATGCCATGGTCTTCAATCATCCAACCCAGTCATTTCCATTATTCCATCAGCAAGCCATTCATCGGGATATGGAGGCAATCTTGAGACTGAAACCTCGGGATACTACTTATCTCCAAATGTAAGACCTAATGGAGCACCATTAGAGAGCCCTAGAATTGAAATCACTTCATGTTTAGGGATGCATAGTAGCAATAACCAGTTCTTTCATGAAGGAGATGTGGAAGAATCGATCCCTAATGTTAAGCGAGCACATTCAACTGCAACGCTGACCTTGCCAAATGTTGACAACTATCGAGATCCATCTTGCTTGAGTCCAGCAAGCAGTTTGTCTTCCAGAAGCTGCAATTCTGAAGCTTCCTCTTTTGAATCAAATTACTCTTATCCATATACTTCCCCTCAGACCTCTCCATGGCAGTCACCGTGTGTCTCTCCCAAAACCACTGACCCAGAAGAAGGCTATCAGAGAAGCATGGTCACCTGTAATTTGCTGAACTCTCCCAGGCATTCCCCATCCACTTCTCCCAGGACGAGTATTTCAGAAGAAAATTGGCTTGCAGCTCCAAACTCACGCCCAACATCTCCATGCAACAAAAGAAAATACAGCATTAATGGCAGACAGACTTCTTACTCACCTCATCACTCTCCAACTCCATCTCCTCACAATTCTCCCAGAGTTAGTGTCACTGATGAGACCTGGTTGGGAAACACTCACCAGTATACAAGTTCTGCAATTGTGGCAGCAATTAATGCTCTCACCACTGACCCAATAGACATGAATGATGACATTCCATCTAAAGCCAGAAAAACAGACTACAGTATACCTCTAAAAACAGAGCCCATTTGTGATGAACATGGCACAATGTCACCATCTGCTGACTTGTCACCAGAAGACTATTCCGGATTCCATCACATCAGGAAAGGCAATTACTGTGATCAGTATCTGTCAGTTCCACAGCATTCTTATCAATGGGCCAAACCAAAGAACATATCCCCTACATCCTATTTGAGGTAAGACAATAGATTAGCATTTGCAATTAATAAAAATGTATATATTCATTTATTCATTTACAAACATGAGTTGTGCCAGGGTTCAGGAAACATGGATATATAGTAAAGAGAAAAATGTAGTGCACACAATGCTTTGCTAAAAGACTTGACAAATCTCAAAGGCTATTTACTAGTGGGACTAAGAGTTTTCATCTGGTATCCACTCAGTTTTGAGCCTTTCTATTGAAACCATACTATCTGTGATTCCTAAAACGTGGCTGCTAGCCTCTGGTTTGGGCTGGCTCTCTCATGAATTGTTCTTTATTTGTCTTCCCTTGCTTTACTGGTTTGTTATGGAGGTACAAGTCTCTGTATTCTTGTCCATATAGGTTTACATTCACCAAAAGGTTTTTTCAAGGATATAGTGGGATTGATTTACTAAAAGCTACAGAGTGAAAAATCTGGTGCAGCTGTGTATGGTAGCCAATCAGTTTCTAACTTCAGCTTGCTTAATTCATTTTTGAGAATAAAACCTGGAAGCTGATTGGTTGCTATGCAGAGCTGCACCAGATTTTGCACTCTCCAGTTTTAGTAAATCAACCCCAATATGTTTTGATTTTGAGTGATCTTATACACTTTACATCTGCCAAAATCTAGTCCTCACACACGGTTGTATACTCAGAACTATGTGGGTTAACGACTGCCCCTAGTAAAGAAGATTACTTAATTGTAGATGATTAGGGAATTCTACTGTAATTATCTACTGGGAGAACTTGAGACAATAGCTGAGAAACCCAGTTAGAAATGTATTCTCTTCTAGGTTTGGTTCCTGTTCATTTCTTATATTTGAATGATAGTTGTACAAACACTTCATGGCCTGTATATTACAGTATAAAGAGCACCATCCATAAATTACCACATATTGAAGCAGAACAGAGAACAGTAATAATAATAATGTGCACACTGTTGTAATTCATGGTAACCATTCAGATTTAACTGAAGTCAGATCAGTGAAAATATTAATGCCAGTGTATTGAAGCAGGTTATTAAATTTTGTGTATCACTTTTTTGCCTATTAGATATGCTATAATGCAATTTTAATTAAACCAGTTAAAGCAGAGCTAAACCTATCGATTTAACTGTTTACCAAAACAATTACATTCAAGGCATGCTGTGAATGATAAATGTCACGGTTGCTTGTGCTCAACTGAACTGTTAAGCCATCAAATGGCTGGTGTCCCAAAAGATCACACGTGTAGCACCATGGCAAATACAGATCAAACAGAGGCTAAGATGGCAGCTTCCTTTGCTTTAAAAGTTGGGAGGATTTAGTTCCACTTTAAAGTTAAAGTTAAAGAGTGTGTATAGCTGAAACCTTTTTTAGCTTTAGATATAGTAGGGGAGGGTTAAAACTCCTGATCCTTTATTTTTTGCTGTCCATGAATCTACCCAGCAGGGGCACAGACAGCAATACAAACTTAAAGACTAACTTCACCCATACCAGTTTGATAACAATTAATGTTCTTTAACAAAAGAACGTACACTCTACATTAATAATTATACTGCCAGAATTAGTGTGTGCTTTAAATTGCCCCCAGCATTGCTCCTGTTTCTTTTTGTTGGAGGCTGCCATTTTGTTAAAGCCCAGAGCAGTCAGTTATTGTAAACACTCCCACTCTCCCTGCTCTTAAAACTATATGTCATATTTCTTCAATTAAAATATGTACATTATCAGCCTTGATTATATGTCTTGGCTCAGATAGAGAGTAAGGCTGATAGAAGCTTTACAGTCCCACAATTCACAGGCTGCCCCTGAGGGAGAAAGGAGAGAGGATATCAGGAAGATAAGGTAGGACACCTTGTAAAGTTGGCCATACATGTATCGAAATTTGGTCTGTTCAGCAGAGAATGGCCAAATTTCGATTAATGTATGGACGCTCTGGTTGTACAGAAGTCAATGTATCGATCAATCTGTCTGAACAGTCTGTGCTGCCAGCTATAGCCGGCAACACTGATCATTGTGTTCTCACAGTGGGGAAGGCTTCTCAACACAGTAGCACAGCGGGAGTGATTACTCCATCCACATTGATTGTGTGAGTGGGGGAATCTGCTGGTTGAAAGGAAAAAATCAATATGTCCTACCTAAGTTTAACTCTTTTGTGTCTCCCCAGCAGCAGAGTTTGTCTTGTCACCTCTCCTGCTTTTCTTTGCTTTCTCCCTAATTGGTGTTCCCTCCGCACAATCTTTGCTTTCTTCCCCCTTCAGCAACAGTAAATCTTAAAGCTGTCGGCTGATCAGCCTGTAGTGGCTCTGATTTAAGATTTAAGGCACAGTGCTGAGAATAAATGGAGCATGTGCAAAGCAGGATGAGATCATGCATTACTGTATTTTAAAGAGGATCTTCTTTTTTAAGAAAAATTTAAACAAACAACCAAAACCAGGCTTATGTACCAGAGGGGAGGAGGGGTGGATAGGAGGGAACTTTTTACTGAGGGTGAATAAAAAAAACAAATCACAAACCCATCTAGCGCACTACAAGTCCCAGCCTTCAAGGTCCAATGTCCAATAGCCTGTGGGGATGGGGGGAGCAAGTAGAAAAATTGCCAAAAGGATCATGCAGCTGCCAATAGACCCGGGAAGATCCAGAAGATCCTTTGTTTTGCTTAGTGTAAAGATCTGCTTTAAATGGTATAGGCGCTTATTTGTTAATGTTTTACACATCTATACCTGCAAAAGAGGCCTGAAGTGATCTATCAGGACTTAATTTTCTGACTAAAGTTCCACTTTAACAAGAGCACAAAAAACGTAGAGTGACGGTTCATATCAGGACCGAATCTGATTTGGGGGTGCAGTAAAAAAAAAAGTCAGGGGGCTTAATATCAACACTGTATGTGTGAGTCGCTGACAGTCTGTCACACAGTGTCATGACCTGACAAACACTATTATGTATTAGACTGTCATTAGGTTAGGGTGATTAAACAGAACCTGTGCCCCCTTATATCAGATGTCCTATCAGAGTCCCTCTTTACATCAGGAGTCCTCATCAGAGTCCTTCTTTACATCATCACTACTCATCAGAGTGCCCCCTTACATCAGGTGTCCCCATCAGAGTGGCCCCTTACATCAGGTGTCCCCATCAGAGTGGCCCCTTACATCAGGTGTCCCCATCAGAGTGCCCCCTTACATCAGGAACCCCATCAAAGTTCCTCCTTACATCAGGTGTCCCCATCAGAGTGCCCCCTTACATCAGCAACCCCATCTGAGTACCCCCTTACATCAAGTGTCCCCATCCGAGTGCCCCCTTACATCAGTTTCCCCATCAGATTGCCCCTTTACATCAGCAAAACCATCAAAGTGCCTCCTTACATCGGGTGTCCCCATCAGAGTGCCCTCCTACATCAGGGACCCCATCAAAGTGCCTCCTTTCATCAGGTGTCCCCATTAGAGTGTTCCCTTACTTGGATTGCCCCCATAAGATTGCCCCCTTACATCAACTGTCTGCATCAGACTAGCTCGTGGATCAGTGGATGCACTTTCAGAGATCTGGGGAGGCACGAGTAAAATCTGGGTGGCACAACCCACCCCAGCACCCCCCCCCCCCCCCGATCTGGCCCTGGTTCACATGTATGCGGATTGGATGTGATTTGAACCACATCCAATCCTCATGACATGTGAAATAATTGCTTCTTATGGTGCCTGTTCACAAATGCCTGGTGCACTGGCCGTGGGGATTCAGTGTGGATTGAAAAAGAGTCCTGTCTGATTTCTGAGCAGTGCTATCCGGTTCAGGTATGGATTACAGGCTCATTGACTTCTATGGGAACCGTTTCTGAATCGCACATGCCACGAGTTTGTGAACATAATTTCAGACTGGTTTTCTCTCTTCAAATCCTGTTTTGAACTGGACCTGAACCGCTGAACGACTTCTTTTCAATTTGCACTGAAAATAGAGCTGTCGAGCCGCACCGCACATCTGTGAATTGGCATATGTAAAAATCTATTAATATACACATTGATCCTTTAATGCTTGGATATTGGAGTATATTTAAAGCAGGGGCACATGGAAAGACTATACTTACCCGGTCCTGCGATCCTTCAGAAAAGGCCCCCCCCTTCACCCCTCCACATCCAGTGGTGGACTGTTCCTGCTGTCCTCGCTTCCTGACCAGTCTAGGGGCATAATAACGTCAGGAACAGTCCACTGCCTAAGACCACAAGACTGCTAAACCCTTGGGAGGGGGGCAGAGCTGCCAGGACTAGTTTTGCGCTGGGAGGATTGGCGGATTAGGTAAGGACCCCTAGACAGAAACAGGCAGTTAACGCATGCAGTGCGGGCACAGTTTCACTGCATGGGGGAAAAAAAATTCCTGGAATTCTTCTTTAATTTTAAACATATAGCCCTGCCTTTTTTGCTGTTAACAGCTGTCTAAATAGACAGCCTTTAACATCTGTGACTGAGAAAGATGGATTGTTTTTAAGACTAGTTTAAGAAATTTATAACCCATGGTAACCTGTAGCAACCCATTTTACCTGAGTCCCCCCACAGTACCATTGACTTCATAATGAAGATACTCCTACCAGATTCAATGCAACATTCAAGCAGTTGCATTGATCGAGTTGCCTTGAGGAAAGTGACCCTCCAAGGCCCCAAAACAATGGCATTTCCATCTATGTCACATAAATGTGTTTCTCACAACAAAAATTTTGGCAATTGCATCTTTGGAGTGCTGGTGATTTCCTTCTTTTCTGTTATACTGTTATACTTCTTTATAAGGCACACTTTGAGTTTTGAAACAACTGTACCAAACAAAAAATGTTAAAAAAGATGTAAAATCAGTCTTGAAAAAAGTCCATCTTCCTCAGTCACAGATGTTAAAGGCTGCCCATTTAGACAGTGTTGAAAGTCACCATTTAATCAAGGCTGGAGCTACAGTTCATGAAACCCATGATGTATGAGGAACATATGAAACAGATAAAGACGTTGAATTCTTGAGTCAGAAAGAAGGAATACACATTCCACA